CTAATGGATATTTAGCGAAATTACGAGCTACCAAGAGTGTCCAGATCTATGTACACATGTAGATATGAAATTGAAATTGAAAATTGTAAATATCCTTGTTTGAAACTAGAACTAAAAACACCTCGTTTCTCTAGACTCTTTCGGAATTTCGTGCTAGTTTACAAATCTTCGTCGATTTAATCCTTATTTTATATACGTGTGTTTATTAAAATATCGGAACAAAACTAAGGATAGGAAACTAAAAACTAATTAATATCGTTCTCTTTTCTAGCTCGGTTTCGACAGCCACGTGAGGATACCATCGAGTAATGGGATAAGCAACATTCCGGGTGGTAAACCGTACGTAACTTTAACTAAAATTATCTCTCGGACAATCTTTCCTAAAATTCGCTGAAAGGAATTCTAGAGCATCTAAATCTCCTACAACGTGTGAATTTTGTTAGATAAAGAATTTCACAAATGTCCACAAATTAGCTTTGTGGAAAAATTTACGGGGGAGGAGGGGAGACACACATTTTGTGGGATAGGAAAATTCGAATTCTGGGGAATTTGTTAACTGTTTGTTTCTTCGTCCTAAAGAAACAAAATATGGAAATGCGTTTGACAAAAATTGATAGTGACTAGAGGAATATAGGAAAAAGGAAACAAAGTGTAAGATATAAATATGGGAAAGAGTATGTAACATGTATTTTATATAGTTAAGGAAATAAGACGAGGGATATAAACCATAAAAGTGTGGGATGAAGACGTGGAAAATATTTTTAGAGTAAAGAAAATGCGATAAGTCCAAATAATTGGGAGATCCAGTAGGAGATATTTATATATAAATATACAAGTGCAATATACAAGTTCATTGACAATGATGAATATGGACGCTTTTTGACATAGTGGCTGTTTAAATATACATTGTTAAATTTCCTCCAACGAGCCTGTTTCACCAACAATTCTAAATTCAGTCGTCAATCCGCCACTAATCTCTACTCTTCCTACATACTCTGACTCATCGGTGCGCTTGACATTTCAATGGAAATAAACACGGTTGCGACACGATCAAATTACTGCACCGATGAGATCATTTACTGCTTCTGGGCATTTCTGAAAATGTCAACCAACCACACTGGCGGTGGTGGTGGTGCATCACATCAGCCGCGATCATGTATCGCGTAATCTGAAAGGCGCGGCCGCGGTGATCGGCGTGATCGTTTCCGACCGTGGCCGCTGCCTCTCGGCGTTGCGAAGCAGAGCTTTTAAGTAATCGAAGGCATTCCATTACGTAGGGACGGAGGCATTAATGTTTTGCATTCCACCGCAGAGCGTACTCGTTCCATATGAACGGCGAGGGTCAGCTGCAGCCGGTGCCATTCCCCACGGACGCTCTGATAGGGCCGGGAATTCCACGTCACGCGCGTCAGATTAATACCTTGACTCACGGCGAGGTTGTGTGCGCCGTTACCATCTCGAATCCGACCAAGTACGTCTACACGGGCGGCAAAGGGTGCGTTAAAGTCTGGGACATCGGGCACGGAGGTGGTGGCAGTATCAAGCACGTATCGCAACTGGACTGCCTGCAACGCGACAATTATATTAGGTCAGTCGCGCCCCACGTTTTCACGTGTTTGGGGAGGGTGTGTGTGTGTGTGTGTGTGTATGTTTGGTCCACACGTCTTTCAATATGCCGCTAACGCGGCCGTGAATTACGACGGATGGATTTATCGTATCAGGTCGTGATACGTGTGCACCGTGTTTCATTCAATTTTCTTTAACTGACTGTGTGAAAGAGTTCTTGTCGCTGGTGCGAAGGTTTCATCATTGGCTGATTTGAGCATCAGTTCCAATGGCCGAAGGGATTTGACGAGCAATTTCGTTGAATGACAGCGAATGGAAGATTTACGAATTTGACAACTGTGTCTGAGAGAAACTCTTTGATCTTAGGAAAGAGTTTTTCTTTTTTTTTTTTTTTTTTTT